CAGCAGGAGGTAACAGTACACACAAGAGAGCCTTCAGACACGTTCGGAGATAAGATTCATTGTCTTACCTGCTAGCAAAATAAGTGTTTGGTTCCTTGTATGTCCTATTTTAAAATACCTGCAGGCATAGTGCAGGTTTTCTTTAACACACCGTTAGTACTACAGCTCTAACAGCTGGTTTTACCACCAGCAGTTTATGGAAGAGTCAAAAGTTGTTTCTGAATATCTGAACTGTATCTTTTATTTGAAGAAAACAATGGCCCCAGACCCTTTGTACGGTTTTCTTTTTCAACGTAGAACAATAGCATGTTTGTGTATGCTGTGTCCTGCTATCTTAAGAAGTTAACACTTACGGATTTGAATTTTTGGGGTTTTTTTTGCGCAAGTGTCCTGCATTACTGTCTTCTCAGCAGTGCAGCTCCATTATGGGGATGGGAGGGATGAGAAGGTGATTAGGAAATGTTGAAGGCGTAGTGCAGCCAAACCAATTCATGAAAAGAGTTACCAGCTAAGCTTGCTGTGAAAGACACTGGGCATTAAAAATGCAAACTGTGGTCTATACCTGCATTTCTACTGTTATTGCTACTACCGATTTTGCACAAGCGTTAGCGCAGGGATGGGGAATTTCTAGAGCAGTACCAATATGAAGGCAGGATTTGCAAAACTGTCGAGTAAGCGTTATTTCTAGAGGGTAAGTCAGGGTCACATGTTCAATAGGATCCCACATGATACCATTATTAAATATCTAACATCACAGAACAGAAAAAGAATAATTTTGTTTTCTGTTATCACTTGTCTGGAGCACATTTGGACTGAAAATGCTTCATTCTGAGGGCATTGTCTGTTCAAATCTCTGTTCTTGATTAGTTCTTAGCCTGCAAACACAGTCACCTTGTTGGAGTTGTTATTACTTCATAACGGATGATATTAGCATAAACTGTTGCAAATATTTGGATATGTGCTTCAGCTATAATCCGTAATGCAACTATAGCTCTCCCGTTTTCAAGGACTTAATTTCATTTGTAGTGAAAACATCCCCTCGGTGTACAACTCTGCATCGAAATGTTAGCCTTTTCTTTATTTCTGCAGTAAAAAGCCTGATCTGATCAACTGACGAATCTTGCTGAGGCAGGCATGAGCACAGGACCAGCACTGAAGTCAGCTGACTTTCTTGCTCAGGCCGAGTGTCGCTATGCATCTGCAGTACTTCAGACTGCTGTGGCCAGTGGGTAATAAGTGAATTAATAAGTAAAAGCAAATACTGGAGAGTTTTAAGAAGCACATCTTAGGGAAGTGGTTCTTCTCCTTTTAAACAAAGCTCCACTTTCTTTTCTTTCCTGTGCTTCTCTGAGATACAAGCTATGATGTGTAGGATCCCAGTTTTCTGCTGCTCTAAGAGAGACCATGCTAGTCAGAGGATAAATTTTTTTATTAGATTTAGGAGAAAATCCTTCAGGCTTCTCACTAGCTTCTGGAAGAAAATGGTTTTTAACAGTAAAGCTATACCATGCTTTCACAGTGAGTAGGATGTTTTTCTTTGGGAATTTTTATTAGGGCATTCTTTATGCAGATAGGAACTCAGTTGTTTATGAAACAAATTTGGCCTGTGTAGTTTGCCATCTTGCTCTGAAGGGATCTCTTTTCAGGAAAGATAGACTATTTAATAATCTTTGGTCCACGTAATGCTTCGTGTGCAGTCCCTTAAGTTAGAATGGTACTGTTTCTGATTTATTGGTAAGACAGATACCCCCAAAATACAGGCTTATATCCAGAAAGAAAAAGAAAACTTAAGTGTCTGATGATTTACTAAAACTGCTAAATTTGAGATCTGTTGGAACATGGAAGGAAAGAGGATTTCAAGATCTAGCAAACGCATGCCGGTTTTCAAGATCCAGGTCTCAAGAGTTGGGTGTAGTTGACTGATCCTGACCTACCTGTGGCATTTAACAGTAGTTTGTTTTTCAGCTGGTATTGCCTGGCAGAGCATCAGCTTGTGGCCACTAATGGCTCAAGTTACAAATAGCTATGTACTGTAGCAACTGAAATGTGCAGGAGATGGGCTTGGTCTCTGTATGGAATAATTTGCAGGTTCTTTAGAGCATTAGGTTAGTTCCTATTTTCTATTTACAGTTGCTTATTCAGGTATTCTGATGTTTTCACACCAAAGAATGGGTTCAGTGCCTCTAAAAACTACCTAGAAATGAAGGACCTGGGCAAATTCTCTCCAGTACTAAATTACCTTGGCAGAGGTGGAGGGGAGCCCAGCCACTAATTTTGAAACACTTTTCCATAGTTTTGCCATGAAAAGGAGTTGCTAGACTGGCTTCAGAAACGTTTGTGGTACAAAGTGGTGACCAATGAGGAAGGAGGATGTAGCAGCTAGTCTTTTACAATGTGGTGCTCCCATTTAAGATACTTGAGAGCCCCAACTTAATTGCTGATGCCTATAATGATACTATGATATACTGTTGTTTTATAGTTTTGTTGGAAGCTGTTATGAAGAATGGAAGTACTGCTGGGGGAGGCGCTTACTGCCGAAAACCAGCCAGTAGCAATGATCAAAGTAAGCCCAATAGCGCGAAGGAGAGCAATGCATCTGCTGCAGGTGAAAGTGGAAAAGGCTACACCAAAGACCAAATGGAAGGAGTATCCAGGTATGGCCTTGCTTAAATACATCACTGCTTTTCATTCTGTGTATTATGTACTTATGCTTTCAGCTCTAGCATCTAAAGAAGCAACAGAAAATTCAAGGTTAGCTGAGAGGGGTTACTTGTACTGAACTGTGACTAAAAGGAAGAGGAGAGTTTTGCTGTGTTTAAACACAGTATGAGATGCTGTCACTTTCTGCGAGAAAGATGATACTCATCTTTATATAAAGTAACCTTGATGGTTTGAAAAGAAAATACTCGTAATAGTTATTAAGTAGATCTCATGTTAAATGGAAGAAGCAATGAAAATTCTATAGTACAGCTTGCAGGACAGTTATACTCATGATAGCTAAGTTTACATTACATGCTTGCTCGTAAAGTTTATTTTCAAGCTAATCTTGCTGTACAGGCTGGTCTTAGACCAGTGTTAAAACTGTTTCGTTCTGGAAGTACAGGTATCTGAGAGGCACTGAAGCACTTAGTCTAAGTTGCATTATAAACTCTGTTTGGACTTCGTGCAGCATGGTGGTATGAAGATGGGGCGACATCAGGAAAGGAGGATGTGCGAAAAGAAACATCAATAAAAATGTCCTTTTGAGGCCAGTAACTCTTAAGTCATGTTATCGTTACACACTTTTTGGCTCTTGGAATGAGAAAAATATTGTTTGATATATGCCCTGATTTCTGCTAAAGAAATATGGATACAGCCACTCTAAAATTGCGCACCTCAATCCACCTGTGTTTTCAGATGAGCCTAGCCCAAATATTTTCAAGGGAGCTCAAAGAAAGGAAATTAAGAAGTCTTCATCTCCTAGTTTGTGTAGATTGGATGAACTGTTGTGCAAACCAGAAATTTGTGAATTTTTTTTGTGTGAAATGTTATGTTGCTGTTGATAGTATCTTGGGATCATATCCTGAAGTTCAATAATCTGTTCAGCTGTGCTAACAGTGAGGAAAAAGCAGCTTTGTTGTTGATACAGCAGCTCTGCATTCAGGCAGGTAGGCAGCAGCATCTCTGGCATGATTATCCTCTTGGCGTTGCTATTTAGTAGAGCTTTTCATTCACCATCGTCTCTGCTTAATTAATGTTATAGCCCTTCACGATACATCTAAAGTAAAACCTGAATAAGCATGTACATTTTTGGACACCTTGAAACGTTAGCTGTTAAAATGAACGCAAAACGTCTGTGTGCGCACATGCACGAGACAAAATATCCAGAGGGAAGTCCTCTGTAAAATGAGGCTTAGATCAAATTAAGAAGTGTAACACGTTCTCAGAAAGCTGCTACAGGGAAGGCTGTGTTACTGCCAGTGTTCACTCACCCATGACGTGCAATTCCGAGCTGCAGTCTGCTTTGGTATCAGGCTCCCTGCAAGATCTTTTTTTGTTTGTTTGTTTTACCAGAAAGTAATGTTGCCTACTTTTTCCTGAGTAAAGTGATGTTGTAGAGCCGACTTTTCTCCATGGCATGCTTTCATGGTATTGCATATTGCTTCCTTGAAGGGATTCACTAGATACCAGATAAAATTAATCTAGTTTGTTGTGATCAGAACCAGAGTTAGGGGTATTCATGGAAGGTGCGCACTGAGGATAATCTTGATGCAACGTTGCTCCTTAGAACCTCTTTCAACAATCTGCTTTATGAATATAAAATGTGGGTTTTTAAGAAGTACCCAGATTTTTACAAATATGCAATTGTAATAGCTTGCAGAACAAACCATGTCTGTTTGTATTTTACATACCACTTAGAAAATCAGCTGTTAAAACAATATCTTGACCTTAGGTTGAGTGATGCTACCATCTTTTAGTATAGCAGTTCATAAACCTTTGGAGAGAGACTGAATTTTGGTTTAGGTGCGCAGTAATCGACAGAGCAACCCCCCAGTTCTTGTTGGAAGTTTTGAAATGTTTGTCATGTTGTCAGTTAGTGACGTCAATACTCCACTTAGAAAATTTGTGGTTAAGAACTAAAAAACGTGTACACCTTGCCAAGGAGAACAGAATTAAATACAAACAGTGGGCTAGAACTTAATGGAAAAATATAACACATTCAGTGATGATAGCTGAGGGAAAGTTCACGTTTAAACCACAGTAAGAATGAGCTTTCTAGCTGGAAATACAACAGGCTGCATATGCTACTGCTTCAGTCAGACCCCAGACTTTTCCAATTAAATGAAATGCAGCCCTCTGGGGAGGGTATTCTTCAGAGAGTAGAGCTTGTCACCACCATATGCTTCTGCCATACCACAGCAGAATGGGTTTTGGACCTTTGAATTGGTTAAAGAAATGCTGTGTGAAAAAAGGTAGTTTTAGATAGTGTTTCATGACTGATTTTTATTTTTTTTCCTATAAGGGAAGAAATTTCTAGATAGCAAGGTAGCAAAATCTTCAGGTTTTAATAAATTCTGAATCTTACCATGAATTTGACTCTGTCAAACTAAGTTGCTTTGTATGCTTATGATTTGAAAGGTGGTCATTATCCTCAAGTATTCTTCCCTCTGGGAGTTTTTGCTTCTGTGTTAGTGATTGAATATAGACTGAGAAAAAGCATTCCTGATTTAACTACACATGCTGTTTCCAACCCTTTTTTATAAGTTCCAGTGAGCAGTCGAACAGGGCGACTGACTCTGAGCTCTCTGACTTGGATCACTGATTAGTGTTCCTGGAGTCATCCAGCTATCTTGAATTTGCTCATGACAATAGATTTAAGAAGCATAGTGAAGACACGCTTGGAGCAGTTAAAACTAATTTTAACTGCATTAATTTTTTTCAGGGTTACTCTAGTAATGTGGGTAGGCATAAGTACAAACAAACATCTCTGTGCTGTTTGTATTTTTTCCACATACACAGGGGACACTGATCACTAGCAAGCTACCATAACAGTTCTGTAGAGCATTACATGAGCTTGCAAACAAGTTGTTCAACAGGGAGAAGCATAAGATGCAATATCTTTCCACTGATTGCATAAGTGCTGGGTGATGCTCTGTTCTTTGTGGGAATGGCGCTCACTAATTCAGTGTGACAGTTTGAAGCTTGAGATATCCAAAAGCACTTTGTTGCTTTTGAATTTAAATGCTTTGAAAATACCATCCGTAGTACGTGCACATCTTTTTCTTAATGATGCTTATCTTGTCACTGAGGGCTGGATTGAGTTGCCTTAACACTTCAGGTGACCTGCATATCAGAGAGATTGACAGGAGACTAGCAGAAATATGTTAGAACCCACAGTAGACTTATGTCTTTTTAGAGCAAGTGCCCTAGAAGTCTCTAGGCGATATTGAAAGCTGTCTGAGCAATGTCAACTTAAGATAAGTGCATGAGAATCGTGTGCACGACAAAAAAGGGAGAATTTGCCTTTGGATTCTGTGGTCTTTGGTTTAAAGCAATTCCTTCACTGTTTGATGTAGGTTATTAGCATTTTTTGCTGAGATAAAGAAATGAAACATTTGTGTAAGAAAGAAAATTTAAACTTTTTTTTCTTCTAGTTCACTTAAAACAACTGAAGAAGTGCTGATCAGGATTACCGTTATCAAAGTTCTTAGTTACTTTCAAACAAATTCTGTTCATCATATCTGCCTATTCATACCAAGTGTGCAGACCCTTGGGAAAGGTTTTGTGGACTAGGATGAAATTAAAAAAAAAAAAAAAAGGATCATTTGCCTGCTGTGTATTAATCTTTCCCATTTATTTTTATGCTGTGAAGTGTGTATTATCTGTTGTCTGCTGCATGATTTAAAAAAAATAGTTTTGGAGTTATAGATAGGTCGTACACTTTATACAGACTCCCTTTAAATGATCTTAAAATTCATATGGTGTCTGATGTCTCTTTTTTAGTAAATAAGCAGTGGCATATATTCCATATTACCTTTTTGACATCTGAAAGATAACAGCCATGATTAGTAGTATGCTAAAGTTGGATTGCTGTCTTGTGAAAACTGTGGTGGGATACTGCTTTTCCTGCCCTGCCAGTACCTGCTCCTCGGAAGAGAGCACAAGAATGAAATTTTATATTTGGATCTCTGAGCTAGAACCAAAGTAAACCAGTAGAGGCATGAGTTCTGTAGGAACCTTGCAAGACAGGATTAAATGTCATCCAGTCGTGGTCAAGAATGATCAGCAACTTGATTTGAATTCGTGGAGTAAACCAAAAAATTGCCTCTATGCATCGCATGGATCAAACTGCAAGGAATGTAAGTTGTATGACAGGCTTTTTCCAGGCCTTCTGCTGAGACTTCTGCAAATTCAGCAAAAAGAGATGTATTGTTACTTTTTTAACATGGGGTCAAGAAGATAATTAACTGAAAGTGGAATAATAAGAGCAATCTACACATGCTAAAAAAAAAACAAAGCAAAGAAATCAGGGCATGCCTTTAATTAGGCTGCTAGAACTACTATGAATTGTTGAAATATCCAGTTGTGTGGTTGAGAAAGTCAAGGTGGAAATCACAGTTATAGAGCCTGTCATGGAAAAGTGGCACAGAAGATATGGTGGACTTTGTCAGAAAGCTCCTGCCTTTAACCTACACTTCTTATAGCTAAAATAAAAGCTTAAACAAAATCTGGAGAAAAGTATGCTGATGTAAATGCAGCCTGGAATATTTCATGTAATGCACACAGGAGAAACAAACTGACCAGGTACATCTAAGAGCAAGGTACTAAGACAAGCACCTTAATGTGTTGTTGAATCTATCAGTTGAAACAGAGATCTGAAACTTCTGGTGCATTCATTTCAGAAACTAGGGGTATGGTGGTACCAGCCTGAGTTCCTCGACAATGCCGTGACCTTCTCTTCCCAATCTAGAGCAGTTTTTGCAGACCACGCTTACGTCATCCAAACTGTGACTGGCACATTCCCATTCAGCTGCAAGATGCCATTTGCATGAGGCCCTCTGGCATCATTGGAAACTTCACCTATGTAGAAATTGGTCTGCATTTTACTGTGTTTTTCTGCTCAGCTCTGGGATCAGAAGTCAGTGTAACTTCCTCTTGCTCAGTTCTTTGTCGC